CACACACGCGCGCGCGCGCGCGCACACACACACACAACAACACACACACACACACACACACACACACACACACACACACACACACACACACACACACACACACACACACACAGAAGCCCACACTCGCAAACCGGCTTACACCGTGAACAGTTCGACCGGAAGGGTCCCCACAACTCACCGGTATATTTGCCAGTTTTCTTCGCGTCGAGGCAACAAAGCGCCAAAAGACACCCACACATAAACAAGCACACGGGGGCGTGTGTATGCACGCGCACACACGGGCACACTCACGGTCAACGCTGCAGCATGCAGCACAAAGAGACTCGACTCGAACGCAAGTTGTCGTGCGTGCACGCTGTCTTCCCCGGAACATGGACTGACTCATGGACACTGGACAGGAAGCCGGCCAGCGGAATATAAGAAGAAGAACTTCAAGGCAGATCGCACTCATCCACCAAGCTTGGGAACGTTCTTCGTCTATAGAGAAGGAGTCATCTCACAAAGGAGCTCTATGGATGTCGGTAGCACGCAAGACGACAGGCGGCCGCCTTTGTCCGACGATGTGGAAGCTGCTCCCCGCGCTGGCGTCGATGATGGGCTCGGAGTCGGTCCCGTCGTCGGTGCCTGCGCGCGGCTTCGCAGAGGGCCGAAATCGCGCGAACTTGCAGTCAGCAGCATGAAGGCTAGAGGTGAGGTAGTCCTCTACAGCTCCGTCTAGGAAGCCTTGGGCTATGGGGTCATCCACTTGGTTGAAGCCCAGATATCCACGTGTCATGTTGTACTTGCCGCGTCGAGCTTGAGCCTCCCTCTCAGCGTGATCAGGTCGATATGTCTGTCCAAGTACACCGTGAACGTCGTCTGTGACTGCCACGTGTTTGAAGTCCAGGCTGAGATGTATCTCTGAATCTTCAGGAATGCGCCACTTGGGTGCTGCAGGACGAACAGTTAAGCTCAGCAACAGAACTCTACCAACCTGCACCTCATAGCGATCGGCTAAGAATCCCCCAACAACTGCTGGCTTCTTCTTTCTAATGATGATACCATCAGGATAGGAGCGTTCTCCTCCCTCTTCTCCTTCTCCTCCCTCTTCTCCTTCTCCTAGCCTAAGGACGTCAGTTGGCTTCTTCCCACCACTTTCTCGGAGTCTTCCTCCTTGAGCACTGCCGGTGCCGCTGCTTGATGACAACAACGAGAAAAGGTCCACGCTCTCCCCGTCCACTATTATCTTATCCATATATCCATCCCGGATATCCGCGCCGGGATCTGCTCGAGCCCAGATCTCGACCACGTGGCTGCCGTACAATATCCCGATTCCACGAATCCAGGTCTTCGTCTTCTTCACCCCATTCGCCCCTTTGACGTGGTACCCGCTCAGGTGCATGTTGATATGCAGGTCTCGATCTGCGACCAGGCAGAAGCTCTCGTTGGGAATGCCCCCAAAGTCGAATCTCGTTCCCCTGGCACCGACAAAATGCGGGTCGTGTTCACACACAGGATTACATCGGCCGCCCGACACAGCCACGTAGTCTCGCATGAACCCCAGACACTGCCCGTCGGGAAAGAGGCGGCATTTCTTCGACGCTCTCCCAAGAAAGGTCCAGTACACGCAATCAGGCGTGACGGCACACTCGCTGCAGCACTCGGCTGCAGTGTTCACATAGCGCACGCCCAAAGCACGGCCTGTCTTGATCATACCGCCGGTGAAGGTGCACATGGGAGAGTCGTAGACGTCCTCGCTCAGAGGGAAGCAGTGATGTCCGGCTCTGTTGATTCGACGAGGGCACCCTTCATAGCTTGGATTCAAAGGACGCGGGGGCATTTCATCGGCAGACCAAGCAACCTCCACGTGGCAGAGAATAGCAGCAGCGAAAAGCAGCAGCTTGAGAGTCATCACGCGAGTACTCCACCATGACCTGCACCTAGACGTGAACCAGATGGCCATCTCCACCATGCTGACCTCGGACCACCTCCTTCTCCCCCAGAGAACCTGCAGCTAGACCTAGGCCTAGACCAGGACGTGCACCTGCACCTAGACCAGGTCCTGCACCTGGACGAGTTCCCCTGCAGCTGACTATAGGTAGGCTGGAATCAGTGGAATGAACTCCTTCGTCGTGCAGTGGCACTCGTCTCCCTCGAGGGGGACACTCCTTCACTCCTCTCTCAGCTGGTTCACCCACATGATCCTCGTGTATTCCTACACGTGAATCCTCAGGAGCTCCACCTCTCCTCTCCTCTCCTCTCCTCTCCTCTCTCCTCTTTCGTCTTTCTACCTCTCTCCCTCTCTCCCTCTCCCCCTCTCTCCCTCTCTTTCCGCCTCTTCGTCCACTCGCTAGCGTAAGTACTCGAACAAACTCATCTATGGGATTCGCTCGCTTGCTAGCGGCGCATGACGGAGGACTCGAGGAGGGGAAGAGAACGGGGCGTGATATCACGAAAGGTGTCAATCAAGCTACTTTATGTTGTCGTCATCATCGAACAAGCTAAGTAATGCTAGCGGCCCTAGTAGCGGGCATGCTGAACAGTGAGCACCAACAGCAACCCGCACAGCAGCAGCAGGAGCAGTAGCAGAGGTCCAGACTCCACAGGAGAGGAGAGGAGAGGAGAGGAGAGGAGACGTGGAGCTCCTTACGATCGAGCAAGACGCAGTGAGCATACCGCATTGCCACTGCACCGAGCCCGACAACAGACGTGGCGCTCGCTGCACACCGGCAAGCAGATTGCTTGCAGTGCCTCACCTCTTGTTACCTAGCCTGCCACGAAGCTCTTCATATATATAGTCATGTGACTCATGTCTCACTTCTGCAGAGGACTGACACTTCTCTCTCTCTCTCTCTCTCTCTCTCTCTCTCTCTCTCTCTCTCTCTCTCTCTCTGTGTGTGTGTGTGTGTGTGTGTGTGTGTGTGTGTGTGNTGTGTGTGTGTGTGTGTGTGTGTGTGTGTGTGTGTGTGTGTGTGTGTGTGTGTGTGTGTGTGTGTGTGTGAATGGGCGTTCGGCACATGCAAGCGGGTCGGTGTGAGTGTAAGAGCTTTATGTAGGACCTTTTTTTTCCCTTAAAGTTCTGAGATTGGCTCATTGGACGGCCAGTAGGGAAAATACTGAGGTACAGTGGTACACCTAGACTTGTCCCTCTTGGCTGAGATAGTCGGGGCGACGCTCCACTCGGCTCTTGGCCTAAGGGTACTAAGGGATGATATAGGCAATCCTTGACCCAGCGCTCACATATGCACTTGGCCATCCTCTTTTTTTGGGGGGTCGGGGGGTTGGTCTTGGAATCGCTGGTTGGTTTGGTGTTATACGCCGCCTACTAGAGCGGTCGGTTTGCTGCCCCCTGTTTGTTCTTAGGGTAAGGCTCCAACTCGTGGGGACCTGCGGGGGTTTTGTGTCTTTCATTCGACTATTTTTCAACATCTCTACACTGTCTACAGACTGAGTCAGTCTCGGATTGCAGCCGTGCGATGTTCTTGAAACCAACTTTAACCAAATTTTTAAAAAATGCAGATCTGAGTTCGAATCCAAAAAAACAAAAAAAAAACCCACAAACAAACAAACAAACATGGGAAAGTGGAGATATATCTTGGTAAATTTCGCTGTTGTATTTTTATTTTTATTTTTTATTTTTTTGCAGAGGAACTAGGATTTTGGACAATGGAAATTTGTGAAATACGCCTCAAAGATCACGTATATGCTAAACTAGCCCCTAAGGGAGGATGGTAGAGCGAAATACACCACCGAATTTGAAAAGTTTGTGAAATGCCCTTTTCTTTTGGATTTGAACCTTGGCAGTATCCCGATTCAGTCAGGATTGGTTGGGAGGGGAAAGAAAAGGATGGGTGGCGGAGGTAAGATGGTCGGGGGATCGTCAGCAGGGAGGAGAACTGCAAGAAGGACACAGGACGGAGATAGCAAGAGACTATCAGCTGGTTTTCCATGAGCGGACAAACCTCGAGCCCAGCAAACTGGGCTAGGCCGGTTTTCACCGAACAGAAGAAACAGAAGGTAGAAAAACCGAAGGAAGCAGAAATAACAAACAAACAAACAAACAGAGAAAAAACAGAGAGAAGCAAACTGGGCTAGGCGGGTTTTCACCGGACAGGGTGAAACTGGGGGGGGGGGGGGGGGGGGGGGGGGCCTTCTTATAGGGCCAAAGGGTGAAAACCGGCCTAGCCCAGTTTGCTTCTCTCTGTTTTTTCTCTGTTTGTTTGTTTGTTTGTTATTTCTGCTTCCTTCGGTTTTTCTACCTTCTGTTTCTTCTGTTCCCTTCTGCTCCCTCTGCTGTTTTTCGGCCGTATGCTGTTTTTCTGGTTTTTCCCTGCTTTCAGGCTGGGCTGTTCACCCCTGCCCTGTTCAAGCCTACTCTTTTTTTTTTTTTTTTTTTTTTTTTTTTTTTTTGAGAAATAGCCCTTGTGATATCCCTCTATCCTGGCGGTGGTAAGAGAACCGCCAGAATTGAGGGCTTATCTGTCGGGCTGCTCCATCTATYGGTGGGGAGCGGCACCTGCTGGAAACCGGGTCCAGCGTCCCAATGATACATCTTGTAACACAGATATTGTTGTTAGTTGTTTCCCCACTCTTAATCATGCTCAGCAGATGGACTCGACAGACGCTGTGAGGATTAGATAGGGGATTGGCAGGGGCTCCAGCAATGGCGTCGCTCCCAATAACGCACTGTGAGTCAAAAAGTTAAGGGATGCTGGGACGGGGGCTGACTATCTGTTTTTTATCCTATGGGACGCCGAGCCCGATTCTCGGCATAAAGTTCTCAGTACATTCTCAGGGAAGAGTTTAATGTTTAGAAAAGACACAATAGGCGCCATGAGGATAGTAGGTGGATGGCAGGGGCTAGGGGATGGAGGGAGACTCCACTGGTGCCTCCCGGTGTTTCTCCCCCCAATACTCGACCCTGCTGCAGGTTGGGAATGGAAGAGTAGATTGGATATGGGACGCTGGACCCGGTTTCCAGCACAATGGTGTCACTTCAAGATGTGCTGTTTTGTAAAAGATGTATTTAAAGGGACGCTGGACCGGGTTTCCAGCAGGTGTTGCTCCCCACCAATAGATGGAGCGGCCCGCCAGGCAAAGCCTCAATCCAGGTGGTTCTCTTACCACCACCAGGATAGAGGCCTTGCACAAGGGCCTTCTTATAAAAAAATAAAAATAAATAAATAATAACAATAAAAAAGTATACCCCTGTCAGCGGACTCCCAAGTTTGTGCTGTACTCCTGTCAGGGGCAGAATTCAAACTTGCACAACCCCCTGACAGGGCTTTCAGGGCTATTTCGCACACTTTCCCTTGGAACAAACTACCGGCAGTATCTCGCTTAGCATCTCGCTGAGACAAAAGAAGAAGTAAATTAAAAGAAAAAAGCTTTCAGCAAACTTCCCTCTTCTATATTTCTTTCTCGCTTCATATAATATCTCTATCTAAAGATTCTAAAGGGCATACTCACACTTGGACTTTTCTACAAAGCTCTGGACCCGAATAGAACGCCCGGTCGTTATGGCTGCACCTGGACGGGATTGCCGTCAGATTCGTCAAAGTGTGTCTGTAGTTGCGGTCAGATGCATTTTGGAAAGTGCTAGCTTCTTCACCCGAATAGAACGCCCGGTCATTATGGCTGCGCCTGGACTGAAAAAAAATTGCCTCAAATACGGCTATAATGACCGGAGGGCGTTCTATTCGGGTGAAGACGGTCATTAATATATAGCCGTATTTGAGGCAAACTTTTTTCTGTCAATGGGCCCGTTTACGATACTGCTGATGTACGCCTTGCGCACTGGGCCCGTTTGAAATAAAATTCCCCCCCCCAAAAAAAAAAAAAAAGAGTTCTGCCTTCCTGTTCATCAATTCATGTATACTAAAAGAGCATACTCAGTATTACTCACACGACAGGACGACTTTTTTCTACTAAGCTCTGGACCTGATTGCGGTCAGATTCATCTAGGTTCGGTCGCAATTGGAGTTTAACTTAGTCTCAGTGAGATACATGTAGGAAAGTGCTACCGTCTTCCCCCGAACACAACGCACCCTTATTTTGGCTGTATCTGGCCGGAAATATAGCTTGTATACATTCATTTTTAGGGCGCGTTATGTTCGGGGGAAGACGGTAGTGTGAGTACGCCCTAACTTCCTAAGGCTTCTTCTTAATTTTCTTTTTTACCCACACAGCAAAGCCCTCTGTTAACACACACAAAAAGAAAAAGACACTGAAAAAAAAAAAAAAAAAAGGCACTGATCAGTCAATGGTCTGGTGAATGCCATTCGATGGACGACGGTTGGGAGCTCGCTCGAAATTCGAAGTGGTAATGAGAAGAGCGAGCAAGCGAAGGCGAAATAGGGACACTAAACGACGGGGAGATCGAGCCGGCCGGTCTCTAATATATCATATCATGAATGATGGTGAATAGTAATCGACGAAGAGTGTGAGTGGCAGCGAGTAATTTCATTTGATTGATGGTGATGACGATGCTTCCACTCACAGAAGTCCCCACCCCTCGCTTCTCCTCTACCCTCCGGGTGATAGCAGAGTCTTAAAAATTAAAATAGTCGCACACACTAACTGCCACAGAGCGCCCCTTGTCTGATCTGGATAGACTCCATCACACCCATTTCGCCATCATCATCCATTCGTAACGCCTCTCTCTCTCTCTCTCTCTCTCTCTCTCTCTCTCTCTCTCTCTCTCTCACACACAC